AAACTGGTCTTCAGTAAACTTGGTTTTAAAACATGAATGCAGTACAGGGAGAGGACCAGCATTTTCCAGGGATGCTTCAAAGTTGAAACTAATTCAAAACACACTATCTTCTGGGGGCAGGGATGTCAAGGGAATTGGCTTTGTCAGTCACTTCCCTCCACATAGAGTATTTTTCCATCATTTTTCCGACTCCCGTAACCACACCAGCCACAAGGAGCTGCAGCAGACTGCACTGCTTCCTGAGCTCAACTGTGACAGTCCAGATGGGTCTGCTAAACACAACACAACTAACCTGCTCCCAAGACAGTTGAGAAAGAACAAGCTAATCCGAGTCCCTACACTCCTACCCCACCTCCTAAGAGCTTCTGCAGGCCCGAGCTGCTTGAGCACAGCATTTTGCAGGACTGTGGGTTACGCTTCTGCCACGCTGATGACTCCAGTGTAGCAACAGGGTAATATCCCTGTGTAAGCCTTGGCTGAAAGAATACTTTAAAAAGTTAATTAGTAGATGAAGGACTTTAACAAATGCACTCCCGGCTTGAAACAGCATCACAGTTCAGACTTAAGAGGTCTATATTAAGAACACCCTACTTCTCCCCATGCAGCCATAAATCCAGAATCCTATTTAAGTAGTCACTGGCAGCCGTAGATGAAATAAGGCTAGGAACAAGAGACTGAAGTTTTCAAAACTGGGTGACTAATGTCTAGCATAAAGACAACATTTAGACAAAAAGACAGATTAGGGGTGGGGAACTATTGCTTCAAAAGATTTCAAATATTGATCTTACATTCCTTCCTCTCCCCAGTAGGTTTAGTTTCAGCACCACACAAGAACATTTCCTTAACGTGAAATAAAACCTGGTATCAGATTTCATGCAACTGCACATTTTCCAAAATAAAAAAGAAACCGCTTTTACGTATTTTGTCATGGAATATTTAATAGCTCCTCACTTGAACATTAATTGCCCCTGGCTTAAAGCTGGAAGATGGCCAATTATCCCCAGTATGTCAGAAATCGCTGACAAGATGGAGGTTGGGAGGAGATTTATTATTGTTGCTTTTAGCTTTACAGTATCCCTCTTGGCTCCCATTTACAGATTACGAGACTAGATAGCAAAAACATACTAATACTTTTACAAAGGTTTGCATCAAACATTTTGCGTGTCCAGAGAAGGGCAACAAAGCTGGTGAGGGGGCTGGAGCACAAGTCTGATGAGGAGCGGCTGAGGGAACTGGGGGTGTTCAGTCTGGAGAAGAGGAGGCTGAGGGGAGCCCTCATCGCTCTCTACAACTACCTGAAAGGGGTTGTGGTGAGGTGGGTGTTGGTCTCTTCTCTCAAGTAACTAGTGATAGAATGAGAGGAAATGGCCTCAAGTTGCGCCAGGGGAGGTTTAGATTGGATATTAGGAAAAATTTCTCCACCGAGAGGATGGTCAGGCATTGGCACAGGCTGCCCAGGGAGGTGGTGGAGTCGCCATCTCTGGAAGTGGTCAAAAAACGTGTGGATGTGGCGCTTCAAGACAGGGTTTAGGGAACATGGTGGATTAATGGTTGGACTTGATGATCTTGAAGGTCCTTTCCAACCTTAGTGATTCTGTGATCAACAGTCAGTAATATTCACATGCCATAATATACTCCCTACAATTATACAAGCTTTACAGCACAGAGATCTTCAGGGCTAACAGCATCATTAAGGCAAAGCTTTGGGGGAAAGGATTTTATTAAAAACTATCATGCTTCACCATTTCACTTTCCACAGTTTCTAAAGGACTGTTAGAGATGAGGTGAAAATATCTGCAAGGAAACAGGGAAAAATGTCCTTACTCGCCAGTGCGTGTTGTCTGCAGTAGCAAGGTACGATGGTACATCAGTCAAGGGATCCTTTTCCATCTTGAATTCTCACTCTATACAGGCTATCAATACTGCTTTTATTTTTTCATAAACGATAAGCTTGGGACACAAAGACCAGCAGCTCTACAAGAAAAAGCTTTCTGGCTCAGTATCAAATACAAAACCCAATTCTTATATGCACTGTCAGATACAAGCCTACACATACGCTCAAGAAGCTAGAGAAGAGCAGTAGTTTGAGCATTGCAGTGTTTACAGTCAATGCTGTACAGTACAGCTAATTCATCACTCTGAAGAAACTGAACAAAAAAGGATCCACCAACTTCTCCAATATTGCACTTTTAGTAACTGACAGAAGGGGGAAGAGATCCCTCATGCACAACCTGGACACGTTATCCACTGGAAGTTACTTGTTCCCCTAGTGATCCGTCCTGGAGAAATTACTAAGCACTCTTCAGCCAGCTCAGGCTTCTTTTCTTCTGCAAGAAAGTATTAAAAGTGAAGAAATTTTATAGCCAAACACAATCTTTTCAAGTAAGGCGGATGAATTCAGCTAAGAATTCTCAAAATCTGCCATCTCACCCATTGTGTCTAGCAAGGAACAGAAGTAAAATGTGCTAATACCAAAGCACCGAGAGACAAAACATTTAATTTGGCTATGTTGAAAAAGGCTGTTACACTTTCCCAAACTTTATTAATATATGAATGTTAATAAGACATGCTAAATATTTAGCAAAGATGTACATTTTTAATAGGCAAATATCATGCTATACATTGCAAATCTAAATGTCTCTGATCTCCTCTTCAAAGGCTCAGAGGAATGAAAAGACAATTCTACCAGACTATACAGTACAGCAACCGCATCTTAAAACTGTTAAAAGGAGAGTATTTCCCAAGAGCTAAGCATAACCTCAGTCTTTTTACATATTTTACTGAATGCTTATTTTCAGAACAAAAGAAGGGTATCATTATAGAATAAAAGAAAACATGATGGATACATTCTCCATCATGTTCACGTCAAATAATGAAAAGCATCTTTTCTATCCAATTTAGAAGGTACAAGAATAACCCTACATTTATGCAACAGATTAAATGTCTGGATTTTGATGAAACTCCTTCCTCGTTTCCTAGAATAAAGGACAAAGCTCTACACAAAGTTTTCCATTATCAGATGCACTTAGCACAGCTGTTTTGTGAGGTGCTGGTTTGCTTTGCTATACCAAATTAAACCATACAAGAAACATTAAAACTTCAAAAGATACAGATCATAAAAACTAACAACCAGCTGTATTTTTGCTGATAGATAATTAAGTCCAGGAGAGTCTACAATGGAGGAAGGACCTAAAGAAAAAAAAGAAAAATTCTGAGATTTTTAAAGCTTCTTAGGTACATGCTCACAGGGGAGGAGAGAAAAAAGATTAAGAAATCATTACCTCAAAAGCAATCCTGCAAATAGAGATATACGGCAAAGTCATACGCAGGCAAATGAGAGTATCCAGTAAATCAACACTGTGTACTGAAAGAATAACCAAACTTGCTTCTTGACATTTAGTCCCCCATCAAAATTCTTCCAAGTGTCCAAGGAACAGCAATTCAGAAACACACCCTGTATTGCTCAATCCTTGCTGTGCGGAATGGTTTGAAGCCTCTGGTAGCATTTAACATGACAAACAATACTTACTTGCACTAATTAAAGTTAAGAGCTGGTGAAGAAACAACCCTGTGCAACAAACCAAAGGTGTGCTCAGCATACCTTAGTGCCTATTATTGCAGTCCATCAGCATAAGTTAAAAACAACAATATTTCAAGCTATCTCCTAAATGAAGACTTTCTGTTGTAATCAGTCTGTCTACAGACCTCCAAAGAGGAAATGCTATTGTAGTGATAACAATATACATGTTCTTCTTTAAAAATTCATACTGAATCAATGCTCAAGTATGGTTATTACAAAAAGCCTAAGATGTTCATTATTCCACTACTAACTAAGAGACAAGATAAAAATTCTCATACCTGGAAATCTTCATGCACTTTTTTTGAACCCCGCATCCTAAAAGCATTTCCTTTTGGAAAAAAAAAAGTCTTGCTCTTCTCCATAGCTTTAACTGGACAGAGATTTTCTTCATCCTAGCTTGATTTTTCCTCCTACTACCTTCAGCAGAAAATCTCTGTATATGTCAGGGGTACTGACACCATTCACGTATTAATAATTTGAGAAGCACTTTGGGACACAAGACATGACAAACTTAAGATTCTGAAAACTGGTGCTCAATCGATTCACCACACTGGCTCAATTACAGTCCTCCACACACTATAAGCATTCATTTAAAGAAAAGATTTTCCTTCAGAATTAGACCACAACCACTGACATTCCAGCCAACGCAGCTTTCATCAGATCATTACTTATATTAAGAAGGATTTAGTGCCAAATCAGGCCTCTTCCAAACATGACAGGGAGTTCCCCCAAGCAGTGGTATAAAGAATCCATTCTTCCCACATCATTGTATTTTTTTTAAAAGATGAAATATAGTATTTAGTACTGATACTTGCATTCCAAATGCTGATAGTATCAATATTTAAACACTGACATATTCAAAGAGCTACTCCTCTAAGAACTGCTGAGCAAGCAATAAAGGAAATTAAATACCAATATTCTTCCTAAAATAAATAGCAGCAACATAAAGAAAATATCTAGCAAAATTATCTGGGAAATAGTCTGTATTTTTCATTTTTTTCTTGAATTTTACTTAACAAAAAACCCTCAACACGACAAGTTTTCAAGCACTCCTTTTAAAACTAGGAACAAATAAAATCCATTAACAATCTCCCTACTGAGATTGGGGACCTATCACATCAAACATTGGAACATGTTCACAAAAGCAGCTTGACAATGCTACCTTTGGGAATTGACAGTAAACAACTGCTTTTTAAATTGATTTACGTCAACACACACATCCTCTCCAAAACAAACATTTAACTAGCCATTCTAAGAGACATTAGTGCCACCCAGCAGACCTACAAAGACTCAACCATTGCAAAAAGCCCCTTGCAGTCAGCATATTAACCCTCCTAGCAGGGACCATCTACTCTCATGTCCAACAGCAAAGCAGAACACAAAATCTCTCAAAATTATATGTGTGTTTGCTTGTACTTACAGCCATGGTAAGATGCTGGGGATCCTCCAGACTTCCCATATTCTTGCTCCGAGTAGCTGGTGGATAGGTTTGGCTGACTGGAGCCTCGGCCAAAGGTGATCTGATTGCTACCCACTCCAGTGGCCACCTGAGCCATACGTTCTTTGGTCTTCAGGGCTTGGGCCCTCTCTGTCTTGAGTCGTTCGTCATCCTTCAGAAGAGACACTAGCTGCTTGGATTTCTCCCTCACGTTGATGCCCTGGTCTTTACCATCTCGATCAATATACTGAAAATCTTTCAACGTCTGGATAGCAAAAATATTCTCTTTACACTGCTGCGCCACTCTCTCAGAACCAGTTTTAATCAGGTAATCTAACAGAGTAAGGGCCTTGTATACATGTCGCCAGTTCTTGCCATGGTCATTCAGTCGTTTCCAGATCATGCTCATAATTTCAGAAAAGGCCACAACATTGTAAGTCAGATCTGCTATTTCAGTCATTAATGAACTGGAGGGACCCCAAGGGTCATTAGAGGTCGCTTCCCGAACTTTTATTTCGGCCTCTGAATAATTGTTCACAATGTTCTTCATCTGCCGCCTAATAGACGAAGTCGTCATTTTTATTTCCCTTTTTAACAAGACAGATTCCAGAACACAAACAAAAAAGGGCTATATTTGCTCTTCTATGAACGTTTCTGAACTGCAAAGGCTCCGGATCAGTGGCTTACTTGTAACACATTCCACTACAACCATTTCCTCTCTTCAAGAGAATGACACGAGAAAATGAAAATCATGACCTGGGTAAGGGAAGAAAACAAAGCACATTAGTTGTGTCTCTAATTAGGAAAGCAATCTGTGTACACTTTTGAGAAATTTTGCTAGAGTTAACTGATGAATTTTCTCCCTGAATATCTTCAGGACATCCGACTTTGAAAACAACTTGCTCTTCTCACAAGCAATGTTAAACATTGAAGATTAAAAACCTGAACTGCTGAACAAGACAAAGGCAAGAAAATATCCATGCTGATGCAAATGCAAAATTTGAAAAGACAGAAACAAAGTCCAATAACAACTTACGTATTTAGTTTCCAACAAGGTAAAACATACCTAGAATTTTTAATTACAGAAATTACAATGCTAGCTTGCAGAGGTGAGATGAAACTACATTAGAAATCCCCTGCTTAGCAGCCATTAGCTTCCCGCTAGCAGCTGCCAACTGCAGTTTGCTACCACTGCTGTAGGAATCTGCGTATTGAGAGAATAAGCAAACTTCCTAAAAATTAACCAGGCTATTTCTGAAATCTCAGGTGAGTTTAAAGCACACTCAACTTCAGGGCAGCGTTCTTGAACAGTGCTCTGCATTCAGTTGAGGCTTCAGGAAGAGAACTGAGCACCAGAACGATGCACTCCAACTCAAGGTGACCTTTAATGTTAAGCAGATTAGAGGGGAATTTTTTTTTCCCTCCAAATGCATTTACTTTGTGCATTTGAAAACACTCATCAAATCTACAGTTTCTGCTCCATGTGCCTTTCACCATGCACAGAACAATTTTTAATTATATGAAAATGGAATTGTAAAAGCAAAATGACTGGCAAGAAAACCCAAGGACAAGCTCTGAAGCTGGAGAGCTGTTTCAGTTATTTATTTAAGGTCACCGTTTCAAGTAAACAGAGGCCTATTAAGCTTTAGAATACATTACTTGAATAAATGGGCAGATTTTGCTATTACATTAACACAGTTAGGGTAGTCTTTGATATTCACCAGTCGCACGAACACTAAGCACTGATTCTGTAACAGAATTTGCCACATTAATAGAGATTGCACATTCCAAATGTCCTCTAATAATGTTTATCCAAACACTCCAAAGAAGCAACAGTATCACTTACAAGAGACACTGGAGAGAAGTAAAGCACAGATTTCAAGCCAAACATTGTTATCATTCTTCAAATTACTATGATGCCATTTAGAATGAAAGCGGAATTAAGTGTCAGCTTGGAAAAAACACAGCTCTATAATGACTTTTTAGCATGAAGCCATATACCCTTCCTACAAAACCATTCTGGACAAAACTACCACAGAACAGGTCCAGAGAGTTACTGTATTTTATCTTGTTCCACTGAAGTTAATTTTTGGCAGAATAAAAAACTATTACGACATCATGGAAAATTACCTTTAAATGAGACCAACACTAAACTCCAGGTAAACTGCGTCATCCCGGTGTTTCCCCAACATTTAAAACCATCTGTACAAGAATGTCACTCTGTTGTCAGATGGCTAGTAGCAACAGGAATAAAAAGGGGCATCTTCTGCTGAGGCATTTACAGCTTTGTTAATTATAAATCCAGCATTTGAAAAGCATCCTATTCCCAGGTGCTCACGACTGCTGCTTCACTCCAAATGTTAACCTTGTCCAAATCTGCTGACTCACCAGCCCTTATGATCACTCTCTAATGCATTACCCCCAAAAGGCAAGGCACCAATATAAATAAAATATTAAAAAAACCTCACACCACCACAACACACACACTCCCCTTAAAGCGAAATAATTTCTTTTTGTCAGTAACAGATTAAGGCAAGTTCACAGACAAAGCTGAAACAAGTTATCCAAGGAGATGGCAGCATCTGGTAGAAAGATGGTCACAAAGAACAGACTGCAGGCAATAACCTCTTTAGCTGGTAAAACTCAAGCCAGAGGATGCAAGTGCCAGCCCAATCATGAACACAACTATGCTGATGCTATGGATCCCAGATCAGAAGAATGCAACCCCCTCCCATACGGACTGAGCTTGTCACCCAACCAGAAAAGCAGTAAATAACATGAAAAGTCAAGAACATGAGAATTATGAAACCTCCTAAACCAGACAGATAAAAAGTCCACCAAGCCCAACATCCTCAGACACAAATCCTCCTGCAAAGAGTATGAGAACAGAAAATATATATTCCCTTGCCTTATATTATCAGCAGCTTAAGCATCTCAGATGCAAACGGTAGTGGAGGCTCTACCAGCCAGCAACAGGCACACAGTGACTCCACCAAACCCCTGTTTGAGGCCACTTGTATTTCCCGTTTCACCCTCACCAAGTACACCACAGCGGTGCAGTGACCACGCTACACAAACAAGTACTTCAGCTTACTTTAAACTTGGACATTTATTCCCCAAGTCGTAGGCAGGGGGCATGCTTTTTAACAAAGAACACGTCACCTTTGGCTTCTTTATGTCACCCATGACTTTATACAAGTTGGCCGTCTCCTTCTGAACTAAGGATCATCCTCCTGAAATTCAATCCCTCTATTTAGAAGCTGCTCCGTATCTCCAATCATCCCTGATGTCCTTCCATGCATCTATTAGGCTTCCGTTTCTTGAGATATATGTAGTTCCAAGTAGTCTACATTTCAGATTTGGCAGTACAAAAGTTTATATCACAACATAGTCATTTTACTGCTTAGGATTTCCCATTCTTTATCAAATACTTTCTAAAAGTCTATTTGCCTTTTGGTAGTTGTGCCTCTCTGTTCATGTACATGAAACCAGAGTCATTTCTCATGCCTGTGCAAATGCATTGAGGCAATTTCATCTGCCATTTTATCACTCTGAAGATCTCAGTCTTTCTCCCTTCCTTTCAATTCAAGTTTCATTTCAAATTTGACTCATTTGGTTCAATTTGGCCACCTTATTAATTTAGAAACGATCTGAAAAAGGAAGTATTTGCAGTAACACTGATCTCTGGCAGGACACATCACTGGGAATAACCCTTCACTGTGAGAACCAACCATTTACTCCTAACCCCGTTTCCTGTCTTTTAACCCGCTGTAAATCTATGAAAAACATTCTTGTCCTACGAGAATTTTGTTTCTTTAAAGGCCAGGGATGAGAAGCCTTAACAAAATATTTTTAAGTCAAGTACACTATACAAACAAATGCCTCACCTATGTTTACCTCCCCAAAGGAAAAAAAAAAAAAGTAGTTTTACTACTTGTTGCAACTTCACAATCTTTTGAAAAAATCATTTTAATACCACACATGATATTTGGAAAGGTAAGTTTTACAGTACATGGGAACACCTACTAGTCCTAAGTAACTCCAACTTTGGCCAATGAAATAAATACCTGAAGAATTAATCATAATCATAACCCGAGCAGTCACACTGACAATAGGGTGCAATTCTGCATGCCATCTCAAGCTGATTGTAAGCCAGCACCAAATCCAGTGGCCTCCCAACCCTCCAACCACTTCCCCTTTCTCTCTCTTGCATCAAATCTAGCAACTACACAACAGCACAGTAACACTAATCAACTTAAGGTTGCGTAGAAAATTAGCTTTTCAGCACTGGTTTGTTTTCTGTCGAATCAGTGAGCTGAACAGGCTGTACAGCAACACGGTCACAAGCACCGCTGCAAGGCAGGCTGTGAGAAGAGTAAAAATGATCCAACTCTGGCCTCACTTCTGAAGGAGCTGATTAAATATAACATAAAGCTGTCAAGCTCTGAAAAACAGCACCAGAAAGTGCCTTCGTTACTGCCCAACTACACCACACACACTAGGAACCCGTGCACCTGGTTTCAGAGAAGAAACCAAACGAACAAAGGCACGACCCAAGGCCCTGCTGTGCTCCCTGTACAGGCTGTAGCTAAATCAAGGAAAAATATTTGTGGTTTTGCTGTAAAGCGTGAGCAAGAAGCGGAATAAAAATCACAGCCTCATTGAGTGCAGAAGTGGTTTTGGAGAGAACCCCACATTTGGGAAATACTTACGTTTATGTTTAGGATTTATTAGTTGAATTACCAATGAAGCTATACCCCAAAAGCAAGCGAGCTTGGAGTACGTACGTGTGCAGGAGGCCCAATTTCTAGCAGCCTCATCCCCCAAACTGGAAGCTTTGCTAGGGTGAAGCACAGAGTAAATCTGGTGTAGTGTTTTAGAAAAAACAAAAGTAGAGCAAACATTTCAAGAATAGAATACATTGGATGAAGTGAAATAAGCATTTTTCACTCCTCCAGAAAGTTAAAGATTTCTCTTGTTCTGTACAAGACTTGAAAACCATGAGGTCCATTAGAGCCAGCATGATTCTTTACCTTTGTATCTTTGGTTCACAGAAACAAAGGCATTTAATGACAATCACATTAAAGTCTGTTTTTTCCTTTTCTTGATGGAAAGATATGATTTCTAATCCTATTCTACTTTTGACCCACTAAAGACAAATTTATTTAAACTTATTTTTACTCTATCAGAAATGCAGAGGATGCATGGGGGGAAAGACGATGGAATTTTTTTACACACCCTCCTCCCAATCCAGTTGTACCAACATTCTAGATAACTACTTTGGCATTAGCAGTGACCCTCACTGAGAACTCCGTATGCCTTTCAGTACCTGCTTTACAAACTCTCTGCTTCCACACTACACGAAGGAAGCATTTCACTTTATTACAGGTCATGGAACACCATTAAAAACCTATCTTATGGTTAAAGAGATCAAAATGTGTAGACGTGGCACTTCAGGATATGGTTTAGTGGGCATGGTGGTGTTGGGTTGATGGTTGGACTTGATGATCTTAAAGGTCTTTCCCAACCTTGATGATTCTGTGAAAAAGCCAAACATCCCTACTGCATAAAAGCAAGATATCATTTCTAATGTACTATCAAATACTTACAGAAAGTTTAGATTTTCTTTTTTTCCAGAGACCTCAGCAAATTAACTTCTCACAACAAACCACAAGGAAGTACAATGCACTTGCAACTTCAGCAAAAATCTGGGTTTGCATTTTTAACAGTACAATTGCAAAGAAAGCAGAAAGTAA